ATATTAACCTTGATTATCGAGATATTTGCGTAAAACTGTCATCCGCGAGGAAGACGATCGATGCTATGGCATGCGACTTTGAGAATTTCCTTGACCTCAAACTACTTACGTTGTTGACTGTCTTCGTCAAAGAGCGTTCAAAAATAGCCTCCTCCGCAGTCATCACAAAGAATCACAGGCTGCCTGTGTTTTAGAGGAGTCAAAAGAGGGAGTCACTAGTCCCCAGTGGCCAAGATGGCTCTTACAAAGGAAGCCCAAAGGAGGAGAAAAGAGTTGCATGGGGAGGAGTGTAGTTCAAAGGAACGTTGTACTTGCTTAAGTGATTCTGGTTGATAATTGTTGACGTTTAGAATTCTACTTCCAGCACAGAAYTGGCATATATTGTATGGTTGTCGATTCGATTCAAAATTGGATTCTRCTGGWCGCGTTTTCATTGTCACACGCACAATCATAAACACGCWCGTGTATATTACATGTGACTTACGCATGTTTGATAAATTATCGAACGCGTATACGGACATGATTGAAAAACAAGTGTTCTTCCGACATTATTTATTAAATAGAGGATATTACATTGGCACGTTGAGATACGGATTTTATCTTTGAGCGTTGAAAAAGATCTCTCACGAGTGAGCGTAGTGACCAGTGTAATATTCCGTTTATCATATATTATATATTACCTGGTTTGGTTGTAGGTGGAGTAGTACTGACACTAGTGACCGTTACGGCACTTTGAGTAGTAACGGCACTGGTGGGTGGAGAGGTACTGGTACTAGCATCTGGACTGGAAATAGTATCCATTTTTGAAGTTTGAGTGGTACTGGTACTGGTGAGAGGAGTGGCACTGGTACTAGTGGGTGGAGTAGTACTGGTACTAGTGACTCCATATTTCCTAGTTGACTTCTATATTAATGAATAGAAACARWACATATATGAATAAATTATGCATTTCAATGAAATCCTATCTTTTCTATTATTATCACATTATAGTAATACCGCTGACCTTCATATCAACGTAGACAAAACCTGGAGCCTTTTGAAGGTCTTCTTTGTGGTCAGCGTCGTTCARTTCACAAATCCGAGTTGCTTCCTCAAAGTTGAATGTCAAACACCTTGAAATAACGAAATAATATAAATCACTAATTAATATTTCATACTTATTAATATGTATGAAGCATATTTTCATTCTGTTTTTTGTTTTGTTTAACCTTTTAAACTGATTTTTGCATTTTGTTATTTCTTCTCTCTTCCGTTTCATTAGATGCTTATATCTCTGCTCAAATCTTACCATTCATCATCGTAATATCGAATCCCCAACCCCCTCCCCTCACATATACCCCTCAACCATAATGCATTTGAGTCTTAGACTTTGAAACATTCAAATAGTCTCCTTCACGGTTACCTTCKCCATCTTGAAAGGTAGCCGTGCCTTTGCATCGAAGCGAGACAACTGTTGAGCGTGCAATGATAGATACTTGTGAATAATTGTCTGTAGGTGTGAAAGAAGGTTTCTATCATTGCACGCTCAACGGTTGTCTCGCTGCGATGCAAAGGCACGGCTATCTTTCAAGATGGCGCAGGTAACCGTGAAGGAGACTCTTAATATTTAAGGCCAAAATTTCATTGAATCATTAACTATGGTACTGATATTTTTTGAATCATCTGAGGTCGGCCATCCTTACCTTTGCTCCAAATTGCATTTGAGTCTACAAAGAACTTCCTTTTCAGCATACAGCCAGGTAATAACATGTCCGTACAGACGATAGCCATGTTGTACAACAAAGTTGGAATATGCTGGGCATTGCCCTGTAGGATAAAAATATCAGCCTTTAACTTATCAACGGTTTGTTCCTTGTCATGAGAACATGGGCCCAATTAGAGTGCACGTCACATAAGCATGAAACAATTCTTAACTAATTAGCGCCTAATAAGAATTTAGTTATCAACTAACTAAGAGTTTAGTGAGGCATAAACAAAGACAAGTTTCCTTTCTGGCATTGTGTTCATGCCCCAGTGAATTCTTAGTTATTTGATAACTAAATCTTATTAGGCGCTAATTAGTTAAGAATTGTTTCATGCTTATGTGACGTGCACTCTACTTTCCCCAATTGACATATTGATCAAGCCTTAGAGACTCGATTACTCTTAAATTGAAAATTACACATCTAGAAAAGAAATACTGTATCTTCCTGATTGGCTGGTGACGGGCATGGAGAAAATAATTAAACATTTAGATATTGCCGAGAGAAAGGGATGTTATTACCTGTACTTATAATGGGATGGCTTTATGACAACGTCAAGTAAACACTGACTAACTTATTACATTAGATGAACAGATGTTTTATMATTTGATGCACAAAAACATTTTTCCTTTTGCTATAAATTTTAATTCCAGTTGTTTTGCCAGTGAAAGTCATAAAGTATAACTTAGAAACCGAAAGATGATTCTATTTCTTGCGGGATAAGTGATAAATTATTTTCGGAAAAACGCAAATAAATATTAAATTAAAAGAAAGCACGAATGGCAGAAGTGATAAAAGTGTAGATGCACCAACAAAGGTGTAGTGGAAAATGATTATGAGTTTTGTTAAACAACATGCCATTGAAGTAAAATGCTATTCTATTTCTTGTGGGATAAGTGATAACTTATTTTTGAGAAGCGCAAATGAATATGCAAGTGGCAATAATAGGCTGAASAGATGATCAAACAGTGGATGTACCAAGAAGGGTCCAAGAAAAGAGTAGCGGCAAATGCGCACAGTTCGTTATGCAAGATGCCATTGAAGTCAATGTTATACAATTTGATCAAACAAAAACAGACGAAAGACAGAGTAATTACATTAGGGTCCTCTTAGTATCAATCAACGCGGTATATACCGTCCATTTTGTGAAATTTTCCTCTTGATACAAGCTGCCTGCTCACACTTAAGGGGAGGATTATCGGCCATTCAACCGAGAAAAACGGAGAAAACCGAGCTGATGTAAAAATAAGACAATGAATAAGAACGGACATCCAGAAACTTTGTTTTCTAAACTGACCAACTTTAATTTTGTTGAGTAACTATTTCAGTAAAAGATTATATAAAGCTTATTCCTTACCTTGAATTCCATTCTTTGAGTAAAACCAAACACAAACAAGCACAAGCCAACCAAACAGGATTTGAAATCTCATTTTAACAGACGCGGAAGAGTGAACACAAAGGACTCTCTTCCTCTTATTAAATAACTTACTTTCAACGGTTTTCAAAGTTTTATTGAGGTGATCATTGACGTAATCGATGGACAGGTTGAGTCATGATTGGCTGATTATTTTTGGACGTGCTCGACTTCCTTCTCGTGTCCTGTTTAATATTCATTAGCTTGGTAATTGAAGCTTGATAGACGTCCCAAATAAGACATAAAACAATCAGAAGATTCGATATTCATTTTCATAATGTATTCTTTTGGTCATATAGTTTTAATATAGAAAGAGAACTACGAGAAGGTTTCTCATTTTTACTAGTTTCAATATTTTGTCCTTTATCCAAAGGCCATCAACTGCAAACTGAACTCATAAATGAATATGATTAACTGCTCTAGTATTGCAATATTTAGACACAACTTAGAATCAGGCAACGTCGAAACTATAAAATTAGTAAATGCTGTCAATGTCAATGCTTCAAAAGTTTAAAATTTTCAAACAAAGGATATAATAGCCAAAGCGCTGTATATAAAAGAACTGAAACCAAGCCTGAATGAACAAGGACAGTCTATCCCCTTGAGGCTAAGGAACTTCTTGCAGCTCTCTTTTATTTTCACAAGCTTCAACGGTAATTTTGAAAGATAGAATTTCCATCAGATTGTTAAATTCTCTCTCTGAGTCTGTGATGATCTGTTAATTAATGTGGTACGAGCATGAATTTAGATTTTAGAAAAGAAACTTAAATATTTGAAACTTTACCATAGGCCTTTTCTGAGATAGCAGTTTGCATTGCATTGTGGTCTAGGTTCAGCACAAACATCTTTTGTTCATGCTGCCAAATATGGTGTTTGTGCTGAAGCTTGACCACAATGCACTATGATTTTGTATTTCAGAAAAGGTCTATGAAACTAAATAGCGTTCAAAGCATATTTACCAAACTATTAGCCTCAGGCAACCATGTCATTAACTTATTCTCAATATTGAACTTSTCAATGGAAAAAGTGTTTACAGAGTTTGCAAATAATATGCAAATATACAGTAAATTCTAATTATAAACAAAATGCCCTTTTACAAAATTTTTAAATTTTATGTACATAATGTGTAAATATCTTGTACATTTTGCTGTATATAGCTACTTTCAAAAAAGGTTGTCGGATAAAATGGCGAATGTCAATTGTCGAAAAGCGATTGCACGACCTAAAGTAGCCATGGGTTTTGCTAGTTGAAAGGCAATAACAACCGATTTGTACTGTAAGATAGTCTGTTGAAAACATTGGCTACATTTAGTCTCCAATTCTATATAAGGTGAATCCAATAAGTGAAATTTTGTTTATAAAAACAGTGTAAACATAGTCCCTTTCGGTCGTGCAATTTCTCTTCGACAATTTCCGTTCGCCTTCCTCCAACAACGTTTTTTGAATTAGCTGTATGTATATTCGATCAAACATTGCAAATATCTTGTAAAAACAATTTACAATGTTTATAAAAGAACATTTTGTCTGTAAAAAGAATAATTTACAGTAAATTTACAGACTCTTGTATCTAAAAATATTCGAAACCCGTGCACATGGTCCTGTCTAATGTTAAGTTTTCGTTAAGTCTTCGTTACAAGTCTTCCTCCTGTTGTTGTAGACACATAGCATTGGACAATAATTACAATGATATTTTTCTAGACAAAATAAAATGCAATGTTCATGGATAGGACATGGAAGYTTGGACTTTTGCCATTTCATTCTTATAATTCTAATTTGGATAAYAGGAAAAGTTAGCGATTTTCGTCATACAGTTGTTTTTCGGGTCTAGAAATACATTCGCTTGTTTATTTTCGTCAACCTGTTTTCATGCTTCAAAATTTTCAACTCTAAAGGTCACTGTTGTTTCATGTTTTAAGCAGTCAAACTCCAACATAATAGCTGGCTTTTTAATCTATTTACAAGGCTTGAATTCAGCTTCATGGTTCACTTTCCCGGAAGATGATCTCAGCATTATCTTTCATGGTTAGAGATGGCAGCTCAGCGTAAAACATATGAAAAGATCACATTCTACAGCTTCGATCCATCGTAGACCCCCTTATATGGGCATCCATACAGCTCAACCCTCATAGCGATATGTCTGCGCCATGCTATTGGTAGAATACGAACTATTTGAGCAATTATAGGAGGATCGAGGGCATTAAACAAGATATTGTTGTGGTCAGTATTTCCTTTTAGGTGTTTTGGTTTACCGTCCACGGTGTAATTACTGAGGRTTTGGGGAGTTACATTTCTGTATTGAAGACGAAATTCTTCAACCAAGAGATCCACGGTGAATCGATGCCCCTGTGTTGCAATGCCGTTGATCYTTTTTACATTTCGCAAATCAATCTGAAGCCATGGGTTGTCATCGTTATATAAGGGTACCCAGGAATTAAAAGGGCCCAATCTTGAATCATTCGCCGTAAGAGGGCTCGTAGAAACGGCAAGATCTTTTTTCTTAATCAATCCACTCTCCATTCCAAGTGCATGGGAGCATTTTTCTGTTGAAGAGAATGAGTAGAAAGTTTGATAGTAATAAAGCTTAATAATAATAACAATCTTTTATTAGGAAAAACWATCACGTAAGTGGTTTTCATAGAGTTCCTAATTTTAAATGTATTTGAATATTTGCATTATAATAGACCTTATCGGCTAACGCGTTGCCATGTAGGTTACCTCCAAATTCAAATCCTGTGTGAAAAAGAACGTTTGTTTCTAAGAATTCAATTGTGAAATGAAAATACAACGAACAATGAAACTTTCTCCCGGGTGGTTTGAATTGACTGAATTGGATGGACACGTTTATAGCAACGCGTTTAGCCGATTAGGTCTATTGATTGTGACTTTATATGTAATCTGTCAAGTCTTTCTATACTTTCTCTCACATTGCTTTACACAACAAGTATTTCAACGTGCATTTCCACGTGGCATATATTCGAGCAAACCATGGAAAAATCTCGGTAAAAACCCTGTAATTACCATACTAAAAAACATTTCCACCGAAGAAGACGGCAATCAGTCGTCGAAACGTTTGGAAAATTTTTCCACAAACAGAGACAACTTTATACACTTATCATATACATTATGCCTGATCATCTTTAAATCTATTCTGTAAAAACCCTGTAATTACCATCCCCAAACCATGTAATTATTTTATAAAACCCCTGTATGTCTATGTACCAAAAATCCTTTGATTGTTATATAAATGTATAGTTAAACCATTTTTTTAACAAAGAGTAAAGTCTACCTTGTTGTTGTTTACATTCGTATAGCTCTACTCTCAACGCGACGTCATGATGCCACCACTTTGTGGGGACTATTCGCACATATCTTGCTTTGATGGCTGGTTTTAGGTCATTATATACAATAGAGTTCATATCACTGTTTGCTGAGAGCTCTTCTCCATTATTGTACAATGTGTAAGGGGTACCACCATGAATACTAGTGTTGAGAGTGTACGATGTTACCCATATTTGATARTGTTTATGACCTTGGGTGGCAATACGAGTTATCTATAACATTAAAACGACCTTGTTAAATGGTGTTTACAAAATGAAGACCCTTTGTTAACAGTGAGTTTCATATGCACATGAMTTCACAGATTTAATGCTAATTCTTTGGTTTTCTCTTCACGTTTTCACTTTAAGCRCTGTTCAATAAAGTTGAAGAATATATAGTCGTTTTCATTTTAGTTGACTATTAGTTGGTATCAAACTCTTAATCTGTTATTTTCTTTTGCTCTTTACTGAGCTTTTACTAGTTTTTCATGCTTGATATAAAAAACTAATCACAGTTTTGGAACTTCAAATCCAGTTTTTGAAATCAACTGAATACAGGCAGCACTCATTAGCCTAAGCTACGCTAGACTTATAATTATATATGAAATACCTATATTCTATATGAAATACCTATATTCTATATATAGAGAGTCTCACCTTCGCAATCTTTCCCACATTGACTTGTAACCATTGATTATTACATGGAAGAGACGAACTACATTTCAAAAACCAGCCACCAGGAAAATTCAATCTTGCCTTGTTTGCATCTTGGTTGTTTCTACTGGCTGTGATGTAGTTGTCAGGGATGACAGACTTGTTCTGTATTCCAATAGAAACTTTTTGTGCACACTGACCTGTTCAAGGATAATTATGATCATCTTAATTAACAACATATTGGACATCGTTATCATTTACTTAAGAAAGACACAAAAGTTCGTAACGAATCAAAAGATTCCAACGGCTCAAGTGGACAGGACCTCAAGTCCGACATGGGGGCCAGTGGAGATGGCCTCAAGTCCAATATGGGAGCCAGTGGAGATGGCCTCAAGTCCGACATGGGGGCCAGTGGGCAGGGCCTCAAGTCCGACATGGGGGCCAGTGGGCAGGGCCTCAAGTCCAATATGGGAGCCAGTGGAGATGGCCTCAAGTCCNNNCAGTTGGAGCAATAGTGGTGGTACCACCAATTGCAGATTTCTTTTTCTTCTATTGGAGCAAGACGATGAAATGAATCGACACATAATATTCAACAGTAATGATATCAGTAACTATAGTAACTAAAATCATCATCAACATTATAATAATAATAAGGATTATTAACATTATCAGCATCACCATTGTTRTAATGCCACTGACCTTCATGTCAACGTARACAAAACCTTGAGYCTCTTGAAGGTCTTCTTTGTKGTCAGCGTCGTTCAATTCACAGACCCTAGTTGCTTCCTCAAAGTTGAATGTCAAACACCTTGAATTAAGAAATTAATAAATATTCATACACATTATAAATACATGATTATTGTCTTCTCAAATTGTCTCCTGTTGCATTCGGTTTTAATTAAAGATTGATGAATTGGCCTGATACGGTCGAGAAGTACCAGGAACTACTCGGCTTTACCTTGCTCTACTTTTTTTTATTTTACGTGTTCTGAACTAATCTCCCGTGATCGAGCTACAAGTTAAAATAAACAAAMTTTTGAATTTAAAAAAAGAAATGATTTCCGGTTATAATTTCTTTTCCTTTTTTCTAATACAAAAATACTTTTCATGAGATTTAGATAATTGGCCGCATCGCATGTTTTAATGAAGGCGCATGTTGCGAAATTAAAAGTTCTTCATCATTACCGTTCGTCCATATTGCATTTGAGTCTACAAAGAACTTCATTTTCAGCATACAGCCAGGTGATGACATGTCCGTACAGACGATAGCCATGTTGTACAACAAAGTTGGGTGAATATGCTGGACATTGACCTGTAGGTTAAATATCAGCCTTTTTAACTTAGCAACGGTTTGTCCCATGTCATGAGAACATGCGCCCAATTACTTTCCCCAATTGACATACTGATCATGCTTTTAGAAACTCGATTACTCTTAAATTAAAAATTACACGTCTAGTTGGGTGAATATGCTGGATACTGGCCTGCAATATTTAAGAAAACCCAATCTTTTAGACTTGTAGACAACTTTGTCGACAGTCTCGTCGATATCAATGAAATAAAGTACGTTTTAGACTAAAACTCAAAGAAGATTAATTACACTTCTCACCTCTAAATTGTTTTAAAATTTGATCCSTGGCCTACAGTTTTGTTTAATATAAAGTTTGTGAAAACTACAAGTTAATTTCTTACCCTGAATTCCGTTCTGAGTGTAAAACCAACCCAAAAGGAGAGCATACCAAGCGAACAGTGCAGGCAATCTCATTTTACTGAATGCAAATATTAATGTTACCACTGCACAAAGTCCACAGATAATTGCAGAACGGTTTCTCTTCCTGTTTTGAACACTGTTTTTAAGACATTATAGAGTGTCCTTTGACGTAATAACATCGCAGGTTAGATCATCGTGATTGGATCACTTTWAGAAGTACTCGACATCCTTCTTGTTAATTGCTTTATTTAAAACTCTTCTAATTGAAACTTTGCAAACTGTTAGAGTTTTGAAAAAATTGGTCTCCACACTCACCTGCAACATCAAGTTAGGAGATAGATAGAAGGCTAATTGTGCCAACAAAGCCGTTTTCACCACATGATGTCAGTTTGAAATGATCTAGTTTTCGTCGAAGCAAGCTGGTGAAAGTGTGCCATTAAACAGGCGCATAAATTGCCTTTGGCAGACTTGGTATACTATCTATTTAATTACTTTTTTTTATCCTCAATTCTAATTTACATGACGTTAATTATTCGGTTTTTTTGTCAACAGAACAGCTAATTTGTTTTTTTTTTTCCTGTTTCCATATTTTTTAAAATCATTTTTTAGACCCCTTCAAAGAAATTATGAAAAAAGGAATAGAAATTATGTGTCAACTAAAATAAATTAAGATTAAATGTGAGTGGTAATCAACCTGAAAAAGCAGTGTTCATGAGCGAATTTTTAATTTTTCTGCGCTAACTTTTTTGAAATATTTCTTATTTATTCTGGATTCGCAACAGTTTACATTGCGAATCTATACTCATAATGTAATCGTAGGATACACGCGATATTCTTTATAGGAAAACAGTGTGATCGGGTTCCAACACAAAGCAACATCATATAGCATGGAAAAGCAAATAATTTGAGTATAACACCGTTCCAGTTCCTGCACTGAATAATAACTTTTTCTACACCTGGGTRTCCAAGATCCATTGCAGTATTTGCTTGATAATATTAACGCATTTCCCATGTTGACACATCTACTATTACAAGTTTCACAATGATAATCTCTACTTTTAATTTATTGGTACAATATATGTCTTTTTCAATGTACAGCAATATTCAGAAATTGTGAACTTTTTTGCTCATATTTCAAGCATATATACAGTTTATATATAACATTTTTTCGTATAGTGCTTGTGMTAGGCAACTTCAAAAAAATATCAGCAATGATAGYCCATAATTTCTGAYATATTTTATATATACTTGAAATATGTCACAAAACGATCATAATTTCTGTATATTGCTGTATATCACTGAATATCCGATATTACAGTTTGTTTGTTTGTTTACTTCCAAGCATGGGGAGACTGGCAACTAGTAGGTCTAGCCTCCGGGTTTCTTTTGAAACGCTCCCATTCTCCCACATTCTCCCAGCAAAAAGACAGGAAACCCGTGACTCTTAGAGATGTCTGTGGAGTTCGCTAGATCTARTGTYWGAACGCKTGAATGAGTATCTGAAGTAAMTATCTCTACCAAACATAACCAAAGTTTCTACCAAGCGCCGGAAGCAAGCAACATACAAATATTTACACATGGTTTTCACCATAAAACTAAGTCACATTTAAACGAAATACTATAAATATTATATCCCTGACATAAATGATTAAAAGTGCTCCTTTCTGTAAAGGAAAACTTCTGGTAACGCACCATGTTTCAATAAGATGTCACGCGCGGTGCGCAGATAAAATGTCATGTAACGCATTCGTTTCTTAGTGCCATATAAGTTCMAAAATCGTGGAAAGCCATCTCAAACTTTTTTGGGAAAATCGAGATAAAAGGCATTTCAAAACTTGTATAAATTTTATGACAAAATTTGATAAAAAGCGAGCTTTTTCATGTAAAAATCTTAGTATTTCAATGTATATTTTCCGGAAATAGTAAAATTCCATAAGTCATTTGCCAGCAATTTGGTATTTTCCAGTCACAAAAACCGACAAGTTAACTTRTTTTAAAATCTTCATGATCGTCAGCTACTGGGTTTCAGTGGGCACCAGTCTTTAGGATCAGTTGTTACTCGGGTTTTTCGTCTTTCTTCGGTGTTCGTAGATGGCTCAGCTCACGAAGAATGGAAGCCTTTTCAGCTTCAAGACTGCCGACATGATTGCGAAGTGAGGTGAGCTGAAGAAACAATAAAAATCACACTGTTATTTATTTTCATGGAGTTGATATACCTTTGTCAAGGGAGTTAAATTTACTCTACCCAATAGAGTAACTTTAAAGGGAGTTAAATCTACTCCGTAATGAGAGTAAAGTTAACTCCACTATGGATAATTTTAACTCCACCTGAAGATACCTAAGTAGAATAAGTGGAGTTAAAGTTACTCCTAAAAAGGAGTCATCCTGTACCTTTTTTAAACTCCACTTTTGGAGTTATCAACTCCCTGAAAATAACAGTGTAATTAACAGATGAATACTTTGATAGGAATAGGGGTGTGATAAAAGGCCCTGATATGATGATGTTGACAGTATTGATGATGATGATGATGATGATGATGATGATGTCGGTACTGATAATCTCACCTCATCAGACACACTTTTTGCTTTCTCTTCACTATTTCTCGTTGTGCCAACACTCTTGTCAGCATTTTCATCTGTCGTTTTGATCTTGTTATCTCTTGTTGGATGTGGCAAAGTGGTTCCATTTGGTAAACTCGACTTTTCCAGTAARCTATTTACTCTTTCCAGCAAAGACGACGTCTTCTTTGGTCGAGTGAGAGTTGACTCGGGCGATGATCGAGTTGTCGATACAGGAGAAGCACAGCTTGGAGAACTGAGGTTAAGTGTTGAGTTACGAGTTGTGTTGTTGCTTGTCTTGTCATTGCTATCCTGTCGAAACGCCTTGTACTTCTTTTCGATCGTTACTTTTTCCTTTTGTACATCTTTCAATATAGTTTCCAGCTCACGAATTTCATTCCAGATTTCTCTCTTGTTACCCAGACTACCCGGTGAGCGAGTAAGCGAGTCCGTTTTCTTTCTCTCATTCCGACGTTTTTGGTACTGAACTTCATTTTCGGCAGTCTCTAAGCTGCACTTCAGAACACGATTCTCGCGCTTCAGAGCCTCAAGTTCTTCTTTGTAGCTGGTTAACTTGGCTCTATCAGAAGCTTGTTGACGTTGAGAATCGTGCAACTCAGTCAACAAATCGCTGTTTGCCGATTTTGCTTCGTTTAAGCTTCCTTCCAGTTCTTCAACCTTTTTTTCGAGGCAGACAACCACGGCATGATCAGCCTCGCCAGCCGCTTTAAGAGCTTTATTGTGACGTTCTAGTTCATTTACTCGGTGCTCCACCGCTTCAAGTTCGGCCGCCGTTATTCGCTCGGCTAAATAATCGTCGTTTTGCACCCGAGAGATTTCTTCGTCGGTTGAATGATCCGATAACCCGACTTGTATCCGACGAATTTCATCCTCAAGTGCTCGATTCTCGTTATCTAGTTCAAGGCACTCTTTCTGTAAATCGATATTTTGATTTTGAAGTTCTCGGATTTGCTCYTCGTATTCGACACGCATTGAAATCATTTCTTGTTCAAGAGCTTCAATTCTTTTCCCAAGAAATTCGCTTTCRCCATTTTTAGTCGCATAGTCGTGCTTCATCGACGTTAARCCGTCTTCCATTCCTTCGATTTTTTTCTGAAGTTCATGATATTCCGTTTCGTATTTCTTCGTAYTTTCAAGTTCTTGGGTTAGCCTGTAGTTTTCAGCAGCTAGTGAATCGAGTTCAACGCGCATTTGTTGCAGTATACCACAYTCCTCATCATCAAACTCTTCTTCCATGTCAGAGCTCAGGACTGATTCATACTTCTTGACTTCTTCGGTCGCTATTTGCGCAATAGTTTCCTGTAGTTTGTCGTGTACTTTGGCGGGTATTTCCTCCAGAGGAGTCCCTTCGTAAGCCTGTTCCAATCTCTTCTTAAGGATCTGAAGTGTGTCAATTTTCGCTTGTTCAACTTGCAGTTTAAATTTCAAAGCAGTTTGCTCGATGGAGTTTAAATACATCATAAATTGATCATTTTCTTCATCAAAGATGACAGAGSTGTTCCCAGGCTCGTAGTCATTGCCGTCGAGTTCAAAAGAAGGGCCTAAACTAGCCCAAGTRACAGTCTCCAAGCACGGTGCTTTCTCTGTTAATGCGTTGGAATCTTCCATTGAAAGTTTCTGTTCATCATTATCGGAAAATGACAACTCTTTTGGTGAGCTTGAAGTGTTTGGCGATATTGTTTCTGATATCGTTGTGTTGGGAGACTCGGAATCCTTGCTATCTGCAAATACAGTGTCTAATCCAGAAAACTGGACACGTYTGGCGAGTTTTTGAGGCGATTCTGGAACGTCTGTGGTGGAATCTTGCTCCTCGTTAGTTTCGTCTTTTGAACTAGTATTGATGCTTTTAGCAGGAACGACGGTTTTTGCTTCGTTGGCTTCACTATTAATGACTTCTAATTCCAAGTCTCCATTTGYCATTCCTTGATTAATAGCCAAATATTCATCCTGTGGTTTATCGCCATTTACTTGCTTAGAATCATYSATTGTAMTCTCTTTGCTCGTCTCTGAATCAACCTCTAGCCTCTCCAAACTCACTTCAGCTCCTTTGTCAGCGTCTTCCGCATTAAGCTGTTGTTKTGTACGAGTATTTTTCTCATTTTCAGAGCTAATMKTKTGGTTSCCGTTASTGGGTTCTTTGGGAATCATATACTCCTTCATAGCATCTAACATCGATTCGAAGAAATCATTGCCATTAAACGCGTCGATGTCAGAACTTYTACCAGTATCTTCCTCTTTCATGTTGTAATCGATGATTTCGGGAAGRCTTTGTCTTCCCGGAGTAGAATCACAACTTATTCCAAATACAGGAGGCATTTCTCGAGACTCCGGTCTTGGGGCACCCTGTGAAAGGACAGACATTAARACCTTAGGCCTTATTTACTGTTTTGTCGCTCGCTTTTACAGCAACAGGTCTGAATCAGCGAGAGTTTTAGCGTTTGAATGTAAATCAATTTAGTCGGATGAGCAGCRATGCGCTAAGCCGGCTTACGTACAATTGAAATGCTACAGTGATTTGAAAACATGTCAGTTTTCAARCCATTTTTGGTTGCCATCGCTGAAAACAAATGATTTGCGTGAGATATGAAGAGCTGCTTTAGGAAATATTCACTTGTATAACTTTGCATCGTGAAAACTTAGTTTCCTAACTCTTTTCTGTTTTATACTGTGCAGTYATTTAAGATAAAGGGCTTTTGGCACTCAATTTTGAAGAAATAAAGAACAAAAAGAAACGGAAAAGGTATTTTATAATAAAACGGATGCAAAAATGTAAATAAGAAAAAACCTCTGAAAAGAAAACAAGGAACGGAAGGGAAGGTTATTTGGAAAASCGATTCTAGAAGAGCCGAGAGTTTCGTTCTGAAAGCTAATGTTCTCGAGGAAGACACAACATMTTRACTTTTCAAAGTWCGGTCGTATTTTCTCGTGCATTCTTGAATAATCTCTGTTGTTCGTTTCGTAATGAGGTCGATGTTTTGARAGATTTGCCCTGGGGGGATGCCAATTATATTTGATTAAAAAAGTCCACAATATTACGTTATCATTAGTGTACAATAACATACTGATAAAAAARCTGATGCTAATTTAATACCAATTTACTAAAGATTAATAAAAAATAAGTTCATTTATGGTTCGAAAACTGATATAGGAGTATATATACGAGAATCGACAACCTTTGTTAACCTATCAGTGCCTAAGAATGTTGACCCATTTTAAGCATAGTTAACTACACAGAAAAGCCACCATAAATGGCAAGAATATTGTGCAAATACAAAACATCTTAATGTCTTTATCCMTTGATAGCATTTACACCATGTTACAAACAAATCTACGCAAATGTACAAATATATGACTAGAAAATCAGGTCTTATCAACGTAGAGAGCATTCAAGCAATATCAAGTTCATCATCAAAACTCACACTACAAAAGGAAGTTCCCTTCTCTRTATCYTCAGTTTTCCGTTAGAAATAAAYCGYTGGWTTTTTTTTAGCGTGACAACTAAATGTTGATGTGTATAATCTTTCCTGTAGTTACTAGATGTTTATCCTTATTATTATGGATAACGAAGGGAGTAAGACAATGACTATTATATTCAATGTCTTTACAGTTGGTTGCGCGGTGGTCACCTGGAACACTTTCTCACGCAATTTAAGCTAATAGGTTTTCTATAAACTTCAAATATGTCGAACTTAGGAAAGACGTGTGCGTAGGCGATTGGTAAACAGCAAGAAAGATATAAAAACCAGAAAACTCTAGAGAAAAATTGTTGAACATTGCTATTGTCTTATCACTCATTACATTTCAGTTGTAACCTTTTTTGACTTACGACTATTAACTTATACGTCTTATTAAGAAAAGGTGACTTTTTTGGATATAAGACGTACGTGTGACATGTAATAAATACGTTTTAATAGTCTTCTTTATTAATTAATAAATTAATTAGTTTTGAGGAGAAAGTGTTAGGAGATTAGAAAATACTAAGGACTTGCATTACATTATAGTTAAAACATTTTATTTTTATTCAATTTTTTGTACTCCTCGAAAAAAGAGCCTGTTTTGGTGACCTACTGTAAAAGGAACTAATAAACTAAACGTTACTATTGAAATAATTTCCGGTTATAGAAGTTTATGCAAAAGTCGATAGTTTTGAACGATCTCGAATACGTCTGCTTTATATATTAGCCTGCTCTTTGCAAGGTTAATGGAGGGAAACCAACTCCAGTCTTTACCAACTCTTGACTAWGCCTGAACTGTTTACATCCGAGTGTTTACGTGAAAAATGTTTTTCCAGCCACACAGTCGAGAGACATTGACGTCACATGCGTCTCTCTCAAGGACCGTGAGAGCATACAGCGACCTGACGTCACTCAAGTGTTATAAACATTACTTCTAGCGGGAAAAAGCATCTAATCAAAACAATTTGACCGACACACGCAGCAGGTTAGAAGTCTGAGCATCATACACAAATAAAATAACGTCGTTGAAAATGTAAAATTCAACATGGTACGATTGATGGTGCAAGAAATGATATTCAGTTACCTTMAGTAGCTTGGGAGAAAAGGGTTGGTAGTTGATGGCTTGAAGCTTGGCTTGCAACGCCTGGAAAAAGCATACAACATTAACAATGCAAAACGATATTCAGCTTTAATGATTAAACAGAAGCAGTATTTGATTCCTCTGAATAAAACAAACATGAAAAATGGCAAGAAAAAAGTCAGTCAATATACTTTTGAAACAGATATTAAACGACTTGCGTTTTCATATCGGTTTTATGTGGGCATAACAAGCTCTTTCTTCCCGTATCTTTGACTATTACACTTTCACTAATATTGTAACATTGTTTCAACGCCTTTTTGATATAAACCTTTAAGCTCACCTATTCTCTACAAAGACAAAACGTAATTTTCTCCGTGGCATTACCTGAATTGCTTCGTGTGACTTCGCCTGTTGATCTACCAGCTTCTTTAGGGTCGCAGGCGACACTGCATCGAAAAGGATACGTTCAAAGCGTGTCAAGTTGTGATATGTTATGTAACGCTTKTTTGTGTGACATTGTGCTACACTAAACACCGGTTAGCATGTTAAGAATCGTGCTATCGTTGTACTTACGGGGTGACTGCCCATTCAAGCCACTAGGTGGTGTCTTTGGTCTAATTTTGACGGGCGTGGATTGTGGGGTGGGGTGCTTTGTAGGGGAACCGCCGCCCTTAAACACCTCCTCTCCTTTCTTTTCACTAATCTATAATAGAATGCGCATCAAATGAAAAATGAATGAAAGGAAAAAATGAATGATTGTAATTATTGATATCGGTGGAATATCTATTCAATCAAACAATAATCTGTCAATCGAACAATGGGGACCTGGAACAATGAATTGAAACTGAAAATGTGAAATGCCAGCTGTCAATCAGTCAATAATGCCTTACTTTTCTACGAAGTACCGCCAGGTATATAAGAAGTGTGTACTCATCTATTTGACCACTGCACAATAATTCAGGACTGAAATAGAAGTGAAAAAGATGAATGGAAGGGATGAATGAATAAATGAAATGAGTGGAATGAGAAGATGACGGAATCTAGCAGTAAACTAGTGTGRGCTGCGTTGGTGTTTCTAAAGAAACAGTTGTGAAATAAGATAAATTTTAACACCGTAAAAAGTTGGTAAAATAACGTACTGACGTGTGGGACGCTAATCGTTCGTTGAAGTAAAGAAATGAAACTTAAATAGAAGATGAGATGATAGGATGGATGAATGACGATAATTATGATAAATAGTCATATGAATCAATGGGTGAAAGAATGAACGAAAGAATGAAGCCGAATGTATTCTTCTTTTTCAGACTGTTTCACTGCGGCCATCTTGGTTGAGCTTCAACAAAGGATTTCTCATTAGCATGTATTGTTCATTCTTCCAAGATGGCCGCCAATCTTTCATCTTTTGAATTTCGTGGGAATACCTGAAAACGACCAACAGATTGGCTTTATCGCAGTCGTACCTGATGATAGAGCTTGGAATACCAAGCTGAGTGCTTGCTGTATTCAGAACACTTTCAATATTATCACTGTTCAAAGCCTGCAAAAGTCAAAATCACATGTCTATCATATGCATAAATTGATCCTTAGAGGTCTAAAAAGATTGTTTTAGAAATTATACAATAAAGTACAAAACGTTGACTAATTACATTTTGTAATTCTTCACTATTGCCATTGCTGTCTGTTTCACAATATTTTGAAATGATTCTTGATAACAGGAAGCCATTCTGAAAACTAATGAAAAAATATAATTAGAAAACATMATCAGCATCATTGCCATCATCATCATCATGAGTAGTGATGTTACCTAGCAACAAAGTTCCCTTTGAGATCCACAATGACATCAGGTAACTCCTTGGATATCCACTCRATAAGAAATCTTTTACCCATACTTACAGAACGTTGATATGGCGCACGGGCTACAAGAAAATAAACAGTTRTCAATAGGGATTCTYCTCAAGGGATTTGTTTYCGAGGAATATACTTTTTATWATTCCAATGTTAACGAGTAACTTACTGTGGCTGTGGACATCAAAGTTTAGTATAATTTGCCATAGCAGATCAAGTATTGCCTCCAAGTCACCTTGACTTATTTCTATAATACAGGAATTGCTGTTAGTCACTCATCAAATTATATTTAAGAGAGATTACATGTTTGATAGAATCTTTTAAGATTTTTGATTGTTCAAAAATAAAACCAGCTACTTTGAACAATCAAAAATCAACCAGTCAATTWATCAATGAATCAGTAGATAAATCAGTCAATTTAAGTCATCACCAATCAATCAATCAATCAACTGATCGGTCAATAAATCAGCCAATCAACTAATTGGTAAATAAATCAATTATGTATTGTTGAACTAACCTTCTACACAGTCGTTACCAACTTCAATGCCTTTTCCTTTAATAAAATTAATCGCTTTAACTAAATTTGTTTCATTCTCGTCCTAAAAACAAAGATTGATACTTTYAGACTACCTGTGGTGAACYAACACAGGAAACCCAGATTGTGTTTTGAAGAAAACTACAAAGGGATCCCAATCAAAGTGATTTAATACTATACATGATAAGAGATRTCATTGACCTTTTCTTCATCTGTAGACAACAGTCTGGTGCTCGTGGTTATTTCCAGAAGCTGGCACAAAACATTGCCGTCCTTTAGATCTTCTTGCAGATCAGAGACTTTATTGCCAGTCAAATAACTATTGATCCAAGATGTATAAATCTAGAGGAAATTAAATAAATCATATATAATTCACAAATTTTTAAAGTTCCTTCACTCTATATAATAAATTGTGAATAAACATATTTTGAAAGACAGATGCAGTTTTTTTCATTTTTTTCGAGTCCTGACCTCCAATTAACTTGAGATAATTAAATTAGCCACAATTACATGTATTTTCATGAAATATTTCGGAGTTCTGTTCTTATAATTTATCTTTCTTTGCAACTGAAATAATTATAATACCACCCACTACTAAAATATGTCATTTTCTTAGACGACTTCGATGTCAGTTTTGAGTATATAAAAGAGATGCACTCAAAATAACATAATTTAAAGATATCTTAATTGATAATGGATATTTATAGCTTAGATCTGAAACGCAAGTTAGTACGTTTTAGAGAATATTAAAAATTTTATGTTACCAAACATATGATGTAAACATTTGTCTTAAAACTCATGAATGCAAAACTTCAATACAAACAAGACTGTTTAACGATTGTTTTTGCATAAATTACACAGCTAAAACAACTGTTTCTAAGCTAAAATCTCAGTGTTATTCAATTTATAGCGTATTTAAAAGAATTCTTATACAACCTCTGTTACTGGAAGATTAGTAGTGCCATTCTCAGTAGCCATCGTACGCTACARAGCAAGGAGAAAGAAATCCAACTTCTTGACGGTTAGTTTCTGTCCCACATGACGGTTTCAAATCGTTGAACACCGAAAACTTCGATACAATTCGAAAAGAAGCCCTTCCATTTGTCGATGTCTTCTRAAGAGTGTTTTTTACTGTGCTTATAGAGTTTGCGACGACTGATGCAGGCCAGATTGTTGTATTTGATAGAAATTTGGACCTTTGCCTTGCTTTCACTGATCGCCGTAGTAATTTGATCTGTGTTTATTCACGCTTGACTGACGTTCTATTAATTTATTCCGGTTACTGTCAGAGAAGCGTTTTCAGGGGTCCCGTCAAGGCAGAGATGTCGGTCGTATAGTGATATGGAGTTGCAATGGGTTGCAGTATTTCAATTACACCTAAATCACTTTTGGTAATGACACTTTTGGTATTTTGGTAATTGAAGGTTGGTTGCGTGCGGAAATGACGGAGAGCCAAAGCCGGCGATCCGTAGAGAGCCTCCCTCCACCCCCTCAGTAGACCAGGTGAGTCAATCCTAACTAAGCACCCTTAATCGTTATCCGATGATATTGAAATTACATAAACAAATCTAATRATATTCATTGTAATCCGCGTAATCATCATTATTAATTTTATCACGGTGTCGGTACCATAGCAACGAAACTTTGGGAAACTATTTTCATGAATATATGCCTAAAAACTATAAACTATTCTATTTAGGTCTAACACATAAGCAAATATCTGCCAATTGGAAAATAGTTTTAAAAATTGAGTTTTTACAGCGATCATTACTTGAGTTGCCTCGAACACCGGGCTTGCTGTGTGTTTTTTTTTTTTTTTTTCATCTCGACCCAGGGTCACCCATGGTTGATTGTGAGTCTGCCTACCATTTAGTATCCCTGGATTTTATACAATTTATAGTTCAGATCAGCTGAGCTAACYATGGAAAATGGAATTTATACCGAAAAACGCTGTAGTTATCAGCCTTCTAAACATTTATACCAGAAAGCTGAGTCCGCAGGCCTTGAAATYACGTCCAAAGAGTTCGCCTCAATGATGGATTCTACGGACGAGTTACGTGACACCAGAAAGGATTTCTGTTATCCAAGAAACAAGGACCTCCCAAATGGTAATAGCTCATTGTTTGTGTTAAAAGTATTACTTTGTTTTATTTTCTAGTTTAATAGGTATTGGTTTTGATCTTCGCAACATGTGTTCGTGTTGTCGTGCATATAGAGCTAGTGCTCGTGGCAAAAAGGTTGCTTAAGTAATCCTTGAACGTTAATACACAACACCTCTATGTTTACTTATATACCAATTTGTTCAAACTTCACTGCGATTTCTCAAGGACTGCTCGATATTCTTTCTATATTGCACAATTTTCTAACGCCCTATTAATTTGTGATTATATTTACTACAYACTCTTGACATGCACCATTTGGCGTGTAGCACGCATAGAATGCATTTMATTTATTTTTTTAAATACATTAAACTATCTTTACTTATAGTTGATGTTTCACTGGTCGATGGTGATCAAGAATGTGTGTATTTTTGTGGAAATTCTTTGGGTTTGATGCCTAAAAAGTGCAAACAGCTTGCTGAAGAACACTTGGACAAGTGGGCAAAAATGTAGGCTACGTGATTATTGAATGCAAGAATGAACAAAAATGTTTTTATCATTGTTTTATCTTAAAGTAAAGAGYATTCTTAAGTCATAAGGAAATGTAAACAACTTCTGTTTATTTGAAACTGCATTTTGTATAGTTTCAAAAAATTGTTGGATTAATTTGTTATTCATCTGTTAGTCTCAAACATCAGGCATTTGGACAACAATGATCATAAATAAGCAAATATCATATCATATCATATAATTTCTCTTAAATATCACAGGGCATGATATATCTTCCCTTCACATTCAGTTGTTTCAAGTTCATTCTTCAACTTGTTTTAGGGGCGTGTATGGGCATGAGAATGGWGAAAGACCATGGRTAGCTATTGAAGAGTTTGTTACAGATGTGTCTGCCAAGATAGTTGGTAAGACRCTGRTTTTATGGAGCATGTTATGTTTAACACGCAATTATATCACCCAAAATTRTAACCGTCCTTCCCTCCCCCAYCCCTATGGGYAATTATCCAACCATTGTACCAAATGAAGGAGGTCTATTACGKGGCTGTCATACTATAAATKTGCACACAAAAGTGCACTTAAACTRTAAACACTGCTGCAATTAAATTGGCAAATCTGCAGCATGACACAAAAATGAGACCAATACCAARAACTGACCTCTAAAATCAGCAGAAACCATAAAACAGGCAACCTATGATAGGCTACCTCAAACAAAAATCCAACCTAAGTAACTACTGTACCAACAAAAGTTAAACATCTAACTATAAGATAATCAATCAACTTAAAAATGTTAGCTTACACTGATATCTGTCATTTTTTCAAGGTGCAAAGCCAATAGAAGTTGTGGTTATGAATACATTGACAGTAAATGTCAACTTGATGATGGTTCCCTTTTACCGACCCACACCACAAAGACACAAGATCCTAATAGAGGGAAAATGCTTTCCGTCAGACCATGTAAYAAAGCTTAGTTTTGCAAAACATCACTAAACTGCTATTATTTGCTTTTTGACTTAAATGTGGCAGATATGATGCCTGGYATCCATCCAACAGCTATATATTTATTCATGTTTGATAATAAAAACAAATCAAAGTTCATGGAAATGACATGAATTGCCTTGTTTTCCCAGTATGCCTTTCAGTCTCAAGTCCAAGTACGTGGATACAAGCCAGAGGAATCCATTATAGAGGTCTTTCCAAGAAAGGTGAACAAAGAAATGCTCATATTTTTTCATAGACTTTCTCAAAGTCCGTTTTCCTGGTTCGCTTATCTCCCGGAAAACGAGTCGACCACTCGCGACTCCGTCGCTCGCCCTCACGCCTTCGGCGTTCGTCTCGCGACTACGCCGCTCGAAATATCAGTGTCCCGACAGTGTGGTCGACTTGTGGCAAGTCTAATTTTTTCATAAAACCAAAGTATTGTAGTGAAGTTGAAGCTTTACCAAGGAAATCTAATTTTGTGGTATTTCCCTGGTTCTTAGGGTGAAATCACACTAAGACTAGAGGATATTTTGGAAGTTATAGAGCAGCAAGGAGACTCCATAGCACTTGTCATGTTTTCAGGTCAGTATATTTTTGTTTTTAGTTTTTGTCTTTWGTTTTCTTTTTTTTGTTCAAAATCCTTATGAGAGGAAAGCGTGATTGTTTGGTTGCCAGCCCACAGACCATAGYTAGTAGACTAACTATGACCAKCCTTAACAGATATGGCCATAGTTAAATAGATGACTCATCCCCAGTTCTCTACTCTTTCCTGTGTGAAAGGTATCCTTCCCATRATGCTTTGCAATACACTAGAAAAAAAGGTGTGGAAATGACTGGGGATGAATCAGGTTCAGACTGYAGTCTTCATTCCTTTTTCTGCAAATCTTGAAAAGGACAACTAGTAAACTTGCAGTATGCTTGAATAGTCATCGTCAAGTTCACCATTCATYTTGCTTTATTCAAAGGCACAATTACCTTTCAAAATGATCCMGAAAATAATACATGCCAGAAAGACACTGGCTATTGAGGCTTTGCCATAATTAGATGTACAACATGGATTTATTATCTTCTTTGCTTATTTCAGGTGTTCAGTACTTCACTGGCCAATGTTTTGATATGAAAGCCATTACAGAAGCAGGCCATAAAAAGGTAGTTTTGATACAATCTTTCACTAATAAGATTAGTGCAGCTTTACGTGAAGTGATACTTTGATATATTCAGGGATGYTATGTTGGCTTTGACTTGGCTCATGCTGCAGGAAATRTTGAGCTTCATCTTCATGACTGGAATGTTGACTTTGCTTGTTGGTGTAGCTACAAGGTTAGTTGATGATCCATTTTCCACTAACTCCATCCGTCCTTCCTTCATTCTAAATGTAAATATTCTTCACTTTTCAATCCTTTCTTCTCTCCTTCTCACCTTGTTACATTYTATCTTCCTAGAAAGATCCTTGTTTCAGTTAGTGTCATTTTCGTTTTCTCATCCATTCTTCCATTTATCTCATTTGTTTAGTATATCAACTGTGGACCTGGTGCTCTTGGCGGTGTCTTTGTCCATGAAAAACATGCTTACAACTTTGATCTTCCCAGGTATTAAACATTCTCAACATTATCTTTTTATGGACACGATTTGGAGGAATAAGTTATTATTATTCTCCTTTAAAGGTTTTCAGGCTGGTGGGGCACTAAAAAGAGCACGCGATTTGAAATGGCTCCAAGTAAGTGCAAATAAAAGTTTCTGGTAATTCATTCATTCGTGCGAGAGCACTTTAATTCATTCATTCCATTGTTCTATTTTCATTCATCCGTTCCTGTCATTTCCTATTTATTCATTTATTTATTTATTTGTTCATTTGTTTTCACCCATCCCTTCATTTACCCTTTTCATGTTATTTTACACTTGCAGAGTTCGATGCGATACCTGGTGCAGAGGGTTTTCAAATATCGAACCCTCCGGCTCTCCAAATGGAAATTATGCTTGCTAGTTATGAAGTGAGTCCAAGTGTTTTGAACTGGTGGTATCWTTACAAAGAAAATACACCCAATYRYGGTAGCTACCATYTTGATCGACCCTTGATTCATATATGATGTACGTTGTCTTTTTAAACTAGATATTTGACAAAGCAACAATGAAAAAAATCAGAGCCAAAAGTGAGATCTTAACAGGTAACAGCTGTTTCAGTGTCTTCCAATTTGTGATTTATCTTTGCTTCTCCAGACAGTCGACGTCCTTGATTTCGTGAGTTCGTTTTTGTYGTTTTGTTGCATTATTGATTCTGTCTGGTGCTGTGTTCATCGGTTTTCTTTCATTTCGCTTTTGTTTTCGCCATTCGTCTGTCAGTACAGTTTCGCTGATTTTGGTAAATTTCTTAGCATTTTAGCATTTTTTTTTTCATTTCTCAGCCTATTTAGAAGTTTTGCTTCAACGTCGGTTCCCTAACATTGCCGACAACCAAGAGGTTTCCAAGCGACCTTCTGTGGAGATATTAACTCCTGCTGACCCAAAGGATCGCGGCTGTCAACTATCTATTCGAGTCTCTTGTCACGTTCAAGATCTGCATTCTCAATTGAAAAAGCGCGGAGTTGTGGTGAGTTTTACGCTAAAAGTAAAGTGTGTCGCTTGCATACTCGTTTTGTTTATATGTCAGACTAATTGCGTATTTTGTTTAACGTGGCTTATAAGCTTAACGTAAAGYGTGCATTCTGCTTGCGTCAACGCTGCGTTTCTAAGCCACGCATTATAATTTCCAAAATCAGTATTAAACCTGAAGCGGCGTGTTTTTTGCTTGTGTCAACGCTGCGTTTGTAAGCCATTTAACATGAAGAGGCGTGTTTTTGGTCGCGTAAACGCTGCGTTTTCTATCTAGATGATGTCGCCTTTTATTATTTTGTTTACGTGAATGACCTTAACGCGCGGGTGCATCGTCGCGCACCTCAATGCGCAAGTGCACCGTTGCGGGCGTAACCGTGATGTTTTAATACGAGCTCGATTTTCGTTTTCAGGTTGATACACGTAAACCCAACGTAATGCGTGTGGCTCCAGCTCCCTTATACAACTCCTTTAGGGATGTTCACGTATTCGTAGACCTCCTTGAACAGTCCTTACTGGCAGCTCATGAAGTATAAGATTAATGATCGATTAAAGTTAATCCAGMTTTAAACCCATAGGTTTTTAAGCGATAATCCAGGATTAGCGTAACGTTAGTGAATTGGTGAATTTAATGGTAAAATGTTTCAGGGTGAGTTAGGCATAATTCATATAGCGTATTTCATATGTCTTTTATAAGAAAACGTACGACTGAAATATCCGGGCCGGGTTGCGTCCGATTAACGTTAATCCGTAGTTGTTTTTAGAAGGAACCAAGGATTAGCGCTACCGAGCTTTGAACAAACCGGCTCTGTGCTTTATGCACTGTGGAACGGTTAGATTCAACATTTCTGAATTACGTGGCGCAACGAGTCGATAATACTACAAAGGTTATTATTATTACYAGGTTCTATTCTTGTTTCGTGTTTAATATGTCGATGATAAGCAGGAATATGCAGGAATTTAAAACAATTTTTAACATGTGGAATACGACGTGTGAGCCAGGCCTATACAATGTACGTTAATCTGTCTGGCCATTGTAGCTAGCGCTTTRTATATGTCTAGTGGTTATTTATTCTGTTTCATTTTTTGGAAAAAGTAAAGGAAAGTTGGGATAATATAAAAYCTGAGAAAGCARCCAGTCAAATTGAAATTATGTTTGAAAAATACCGGCTTTAGATAGAAGTAACCGTCTCTTTCTTCAATAGCACTTGTTTACTTACGAAGAAGAGATTGATTGATTGATTGWTTTAATGTRCTTTACAAGGATTCAATAATGACAAGAAACTGAATAATACACTAAATAATATTTTTAATGAAAATAAAGTGTTTTCAAGTAACTTGCCTAAAGTGTTAAATTACATTTTAAGGGTACGTGTTCTCGTATTTTACAGGATATTTAAGTATATTTTTTTATTTTAATTTATTACGGTGTATGGCGTTTTTATGTAGCATTTAGCAATAAAATAAGTTGAAAATGTGTAACATCCTTSAACAAGACAAAGAATCCATAACTATGAGCCTAATTTGCATAATACCTAAACAAAGTTAAGAACATCTGTAATGGATAAATTTGATGCGGCTGTTAGCTATTAAGTTAGTCTAGACGTCTGAAGCTTTTGTATCACCTACTTGATTTGCAATGCATTGTGGGATCTGTTTCTAGAGAAAACAAAACAAATCCGCCATGTTTGATCCCAAACATATCCCATAATGCATTGCATATAAAGTATATGACGYAAAGCTTCAGAAGTCTACTGCCAATCAGAGAATCTAGGCCCTTGTGCTTTACTTTATCCACCCTGATGACCTACAACCGAACTCTAACCTTCTTACTCCCAGTGCCTATGACCGCTTGTCTTCTGTTTGTAATTCACCATATGTCTACGTACGAGTAGTTTTACTGTGTTTGTTGTCTCTAACAAGTTCTACACTCTCAGGGTCCTCCCATGAGCTCATGTTTTCTGTTTTGTGTACTATTCACCGTACTTTTCATCGCAAATCGGTTCAGCATTCCCAGTGTTAGTGAGGGATATGCCAGAGGTCCTGTCTGTGAACTCGTCTCATTATTTACCTCATGACGGAGGTTGTCATCACTATCGACGATTACTCTTCTCACCGGTCAAAGGTTTGACCCGATTATGTTTGGTCAAGCCTTCTTGTACGCCATCTGAAATAGAATTATTGTACATTTGTTTGTTTTTATCTACCGATGACACGGAGTTCTCGACCGTTGACTTGGCGGAAGTGAAGGTACTTAGTCTTGTAACCTCCCAACGCTGCAATTTATGTTTGAATGAGGCGCGTATCTCTCCACTTCGTAGRCAATGAAGAACGAAGATAAGAAACCCCTGAAATGAATCACATGGTTATTTAAGTAATGGTCCGAGTAAGAAGCAGGCAAGCAAACGGCAATGGAATKCRYRARGGTGCTAATTTTGTATTGTATAATCCATCCATCTCATTGGTTAAAACATTAAAATTTGACATAATTTCAAAAGAGTAAGCGCATTTTTAAATATTTTATTTAATATCTGATTCCGACTTCATAAAAGCTTTCCTTAGCTTTAATATTAATAGCAATTCTATGTGGGGAACATAGCAAATTAGAAGCATTTTTTGGCTATTGTTTTGAGTGCTTATGATTGGACAAGATCTTTTAATACAAAAGAAACTTTGTTTCAAAACAGAGTTTATTCACATTTTGTTTTAAAAATGTGTTACCCATAGGTTGATATATAATCAGTGTGAAGACCAAGACATTCGTATGTGGGGAAGTTGCAATTGCCGCAGAATAATAGAAAGTTGCCTGATTTTTGCGCGCATTGTTACTTAATGAGTATGAAGATGAATAAAATATCAGCAAGTATCATAATGATAACAATGACAACGTGATCAGGATATGGAGTGAAGTAAGTATCACCTCTGCATCTAACATAAGTTAGCTTTACTACCTGGAATGAGTTTAATATGGTGAAAATATACTGGAAAACAATCCCTGCATTGGTGACGGCCAGCAAGCCAAACAACCAAGTCAGACCGAGYAGTGGGAACAGAACAACACATGACTTTACCCCTTGCCTGAAGTGAATTAAGATAAAAACAATATCTATCAGATTCAGCTGTTGGCCGCATGGTTTCATGAGAAAGTTATGAGAAAAAGAAAAAGGGGCTCCAGTGTGTGAAAATAGTTGTTGAGTGCTTGCGACCTCAAATTCGTTCCAATTCTCTTTTTATCTTTTGCTGGTGCGTATTATCCTCCAGGGTGACAAAAACTTTTCCCTGAGAAAACTCTGATTCTGCTCATGTGTAAGAAAGACCAGATAAAAGTGGAAAGTAAAAAAAAGTAAGTAGGAGATGGTCTGCCTACAAACAATATACATGATATAGGATCTTACCTAAATTTTTCGGCTTGATCAAGTTTGCCTTGATTGAGATTGACTATCTCTCGAATTGCAAAGACCAGAATAAAAATGTTTGCCTGAAAAAGYCATTGAATCAATATCAAAMCCYWAAWTWMCSRAMAAWTWAMCMAAAA